TCCCTCCAACAGAACCACCGATTTCATAGTACACGAGGGTACCCATCACTCATGGCAACACATGCCCTGGATAACACATGTTATCCCAGAAATAAACACGTGAACCTTACACAAAGGCCACAAACTCCATAATCACGTCATGGCCACCACGAGGACCACTGCAATACCTTGGTGACTAGTGTCCCATACCACTAATCGTGCAATCCAGGTAAAGCCACACACACATCACACTTCAACAGGAATCAATCAACGGATCACAACGAAGATATGAAACCATACTCAATCAAGGAATGGATCACAGTCCAACAACAACGATGAATAACACAAGTCATCATCAACCAATAGGGAGGTACAAACAACACACACGCTAGCATTTAAACACCGAACTAACATGCTTATTAAACGGGTAAACCAAACGTAGTTCCAAAGAACACACAAGACTCATCACGGTTCAACGAAACACAATGTTGAACACTTAGCACGATTCAAGACACCAAAACCTACATGGATACCTACCACATAGTTCTAGATATACAAAACATCAAGAAAACACTCAAATAGTTCCACAAAAGAACATCGGGAAGTCAAAAGACCAAATACCGAGTCAAAAGAATCACGGGGAACAAATCCCCAAACAACACCATCATGTTCCCCGCGGGTACCAACACCCATAAGCCACGTTCCCACGGGTGGGGCGGCGGGTAGGCCACTGCCCGCCGTTCCGCCCGCGGATACACTCTTGTGCCCAAAATAATCCCTTCGGGGATTTTCAACACCAAGCTCAAATTCAAGTCCAAAACATGCCAAATCCCACCAAATACAACAAAATGACTTGAATCAAAGGAATAGCCAAGCAATGGCATACAAGAACCCTAAACACAAGCTCTATATATGCATTTTCACAAGACAATTCATAAACACTCACATTTCATAGCAAAACACATGTAGAATCCAAGAAATCATCATATAGGTAAGCAAAATAGATTTTGTAGAGCATGGGTTACCTCTTGTAGACAAAAACCTTCACTTTTTTTTTTTTTTTTAAATAGATATTATTATTAGAAAACCATCTTGCCAAGGCCCAAAAGTGACCAAGGCTACAAGGCAATAAATGAATGAAGCAGCAGGCCTAAGGCTATGTAGTAAAGGAGATAGACTCTAAACCACCATGTGGGCCCAATACCCATACTGCAGACCACCTGCACCATATGCAAAGCTGGACAATTCCTAGGCGTCATGCCCTACACAAAGGGTGGGAACGGTGCTTCAAAGCCAGAAAACCCACCACCCTCATGCGTTGGACAGACCCACTCCGGTACAGATCTCTGCATTTTTATCCCGGGGGGCCGTGAATAGTCCGCCACATGAGCAATGGTTCTCACCTCCATCCACCCTTGGAACCCAGGCCATCCTCGTACGTACAGAGCTCTGCATTTTATCGCAGAGGGCTTCAACGGCCCAAAGACCCAAGCGATGGCTCCCTAAACCAGTGATGCTTAACATATATACCACCCTCAAGCGTCAAACCAGCTCCCTCGGTACAATGTACTGTATTTTACCCGGGGAACCTATACGGCCATCCACAGAAGAAATAGCATATATGCTAGGTACCAGCAGCCTACCTCACACCCACCCAACCCTTTATAGAACAGCCAGCCTTTCTTCCAAACGCCAATCTTGTTTTTTGTTTTTTTTTTTTTTTTTTTTTTTTTTTTTTTTTTTTGTTTTTTTTTTTTTTTTTAAGCAGACTAAATAGAGCACTCCTACCTCAGGGTGTATGCTATGCATGAAACACAGGAATCAAATCTTGCGAGACACACAGCCACAGATAAAGCTGAAAAGGCATAGAAACACAGAGCAGGCAGAAAAACCCCCAATACTGGAAACCCCCTACGCCCTATGCCAGCAAGGCCAATCTACTCTACTAACCCAGCTTAAAAAAATAATCAGCAAGTGTACAGGCATAAAGTTATAAATGAAATGCGGCTCGCAGGCCCAAAATACAGACACGTAGGCCCACAGTAAAAACATAATCATGGTGGATCATCCACATCAAAGAAAACATAGGGCACATCATCATTAGCAAGCAGAACTCGTACCCTGGTCGGTAGATCTGTAAACATACAAAGCGAGTCTCCCCCGGCTTGTCAACAACCCAATCAGCTAGAGCCTGTGCCGGAAAATTAGCCCTAGATGGACACAATCTGACAGAGACAGACCCGCATGAGCACAGAAAGCGTAGCCGAGATACCACACCATCAAGTGGCCACGGAGGCCGAGTCAAGATATCTAGATAACCTCCCAACTGAACCAGCGTAGACTCCAACACAATCTCCGTGTGGCCGCCAACGAGGCACCACTCTAGGCAGGAGAACAATACTCGAAACAATCCTTGGGCATGCTCTCCTTGCCCAAACCACGCCACTCCGTAGCAAAGTCCACCTGCTGGGTTGCGTACCAAAGCTGCAGCTCCCCTACAGCCTCTGACAAGGATACATTAATCTTAATAGCTCCTGCCGCAGGTGGGGCCCACCTGACCGTCCTAACGAATCGCCTCGGCACATGTGCCTCCAGATATGCAACGATCGTCCTCCAATTTGGGGGTAGGATATGCTGCATAGGCCAATGCCTGAACAAGCATTCCGCAACCCCTCTAGCTACCCCAAATATCACTCGCGCAACACTCAGGGTGCCCCGCCCATGCATACACCCATTACGGTGTTTCCACAGCTCCCACATCACCAAGCAAGGCAACTTGTCAACAACAAAAGAAAACAAAGGATTACGCGTCTCCCCACGGCCCCAGCTAGTGACCAGGTCCTAAGACTCCGGTGACGCGACTATAGGCCTAGGGACGCCAAAATATAGTTCCATACAGCTTTTGCCATTTCCCCATCATAAAAAACATGTGTAATAGTTTCAGAAGCTGGGGATTGACAACACCTACATTTCGACACGAGCACATGGTCGAAATGAAACAAGGCATCGTCGGTGGGCATCCGCCCTCGAAACACTCTCCAAGCCAGGAAAGACACCTTAAAAGGAAGGTGCTTACGCCAACACTTAGCCAGAAGAGGATCCGGTGCAATGGGCTGAACAGGCCTAAGATAGGCCTTAGCCGAGGAAAAAGAAAACATACCATCAGAAGCTGCAGTCCAAAGCGGGATATCCCGCGGCCCCTGGTTAATCCGGGACAAGTCCACAGTGACCCCAGCATATAACAGCTCCTCATGACCAGTGAGATCAAGTACACCATCGTGTATGTAATCTAGCAGCATCTCCCGGGAATAAGAAACCCTCGGGAAAGGAAAAATCTTGCATAGCGGCCCCAATCCTGACCAGTTATCCCACCAGAAATTAACCCGGCCCTAGAACAAGCGCCACGTCAAGACCCGCTTTACCTCATCGCGAATTGCAAGCATTCGCCTCCAAGTGTGCGAATCAGAATACCGGGCCACCTTTGCAACTAGGTGAACTCGTGTACAATACTTTGCTCTCATAAAATCTGACCACAAGGTGTGTTCCGTACGAAAGTTCCAACACAACTTTGCACTAGCTGCTCAAACCATCAATTCCAAGTCCAGGAAGCCAACTCCCCCTTCCTTCTTAGGCAAGGACAGTATTTTCCACGAACTCCAATGGTACTGGGCTCCCTCTGATTGCTTCCAGAAGAAGCTTGCAAAACACCGTTCCAAGTCTCGAATGACTTGCTTGGGCGGAGCACAGGCTGCAAATAAGTGTAGTGGTATAGCTTGCAATACTGATGATATCAAGATTGCCTTCCCCCCTTTTGATAATACCCGTCGTTGCCAGCTCAAACATTTAGCTTTAACCTTATCAATCGCAGAGGCAAAGTAGATACACTTCTTACGGCCTATGTATACCGGGCACCCAAGATACGTAAAGGGGAAAACATTATGCACACACCTGGTTTCCCTGCGAACTTCGTCAATTACTCGGACCGGAGTACGAGGATGCATTCAAAACGCACTCTTCTGAAAACTCACCAATTGCCCCGATATCTCCTCATACTCTTTTAGTGCTGAGATGACCTTTGCGATTGCCCCTCGCCTAGCTATGCTAAAAATAATCACATCGTCTACATAAGCCAAATGATGAATATGTGGTGTACCCGGCGGTTGAGTGAACCTAGGCACTGTATAATCATCATGGACTTGGGCTAGATAGACGGAGAGAACCTCCGCCGCAATAACAAATAAGGTCGGGGATAGGGGATCCCCCTGCCTAAGCCCTCTGGTTGATGTAAAAAACCCCTCCTTAATGCCGTTCACAATTACAGAGTACCAGACATTTGACACCGCGTGAAATACCATATCAATCCAAACCTCACTAAACCCCAGACGACGCATTACCGACGTTAGGAAGAACCAGGAGACTCGGTCATATGCCTTTGCCATGTCGAGTTTGAGGACTATATCCTTATTTTGTCGGCTAAGCCCGTGGCACATCTCTGAGGCCAAAAGCACATTGTTCGTGATAGAACGCCCAGCCACAAAACCGCTCTGTTGCGGCGATAGCACAGGCGGTAATATCGTAGCCATCCGAACAACCATGAGCTTCGTGACCACCTTGCTACTAAAATTACAAAGGCTGATTGGCCTATAATCCGCAAAGGTCCCAGGACTCGGTTTTTTCGGCAATAAGACGATGAATGTGTGTGTGATAGCCCTCGTAAAGTCCCTTCCAGTGAAATAACTTCGGACCATCGCAACTACATCATCCTGGATTATGTCCCAGCAAGCCTTGTAGAAAGCTCCTGAAAAACCATCAGGACCCGCCGCACTTGTAGAACTCATCTGCATTACCACTTCCTTGACTTCTTCTACCCCTGGGACAGCTGTCAGTAGATCATTATCATCCTCCATAACCAATCGTGGGATACAATCCAGTCTAGCAAGATCAAACCCACCCACTTCCGCCGCAAACATGCACTCAAAAAAGGACACTGCCTGCTGGGCTATCCCTTGTCTATCCTCCAGTCAGACCCCGTCATCATTTTTAACTCGATGAATATATAGTTTGCGCCTGCGCTCCTTGACAATTGCATGAAAGTAATGGGAGTTTCTATCACCTTCTTGTACCTCTGTTACGCGTGCCTTTTGCTGCCAAAACTCCTCTTCTATCGCTATCTGCCTCTTCAGCAAAGCAACCCCTTTTTGATATTCAATTAACGCCCGCTCATCCTCCGGGTGTTGCTGCAGCACCGCCTCTAGATTCTGGACAGTATCCTCATATTCCCGCAATTTAGCAAATATGTCCCCAAACACCATTCTGCTCCATCTACTTAGGACTTTCGCCAGCCTTTTTAGCTTTGCGGCCAATACAGACATCGGCCGGAGCTTGCCAACTATCACGCACAATGTTCTGAAAGTCATCATGCTTGACCCAGACATTCAGAAAGACAAAATGTTTTGGCACCACCTGGGTGGTGAGGAAATCACAAGTAATTAGGAGTGGGCTATGGTCCGACGTGGCTTTTGATAGATGCCGTACAGACGTTTTGAACACCGACTCCCACTCGGAAGTGTAGAGACATCGATCTAAACGCATCCATATGGCCGCCTCCCCACGTCGCCCATTCCACCAAGTGTAACGGGAGCCATAGTAAGTTGCATCCACCAAGCCACACGAACTGGCACACTCACAGAAATCCACAGTCTTCCTATGAGAGTAAGGCAAGCCACCCATTTTCTCGTCCACACTCATTAGACAATTGAAATCACCCATGAGCGACCATGGAACCCCCCCTGGGATCCTGGGACAAACCGCCTTCAGCTTATCCCATAATGTGCCCCGCAGAGATTCCCTGATTTTGGCATAAACAAAAGATAGCCAAAACGGCGTGAGTATAGTGGAATGAGCACAAGAGATAGAGATACACTGCTCCATTTGGCTCTCTATGCGTACGGTCAGATCATTATTCCAAAACAACCATATTTTATAACCTGACCCGTACGCATTGTCAAAATTGAACTTTATCTTAAAAGACTCGAGCCTGTCAGCCGTATAGGCATTATCATATTTACAAGGCTCAATTAGACATAGAATAAAAGGCGAATGAGATCTAAGTAAAATGCGGGTCCTGCCAGCAAAACCCTGTGAAGCCACCCCCCTCACATTCCACACAAGAACCTTCATTGTAAAACCTCGTGAGAAGGCGCTTGAGCTGAGGGGCGAAACCCCTCCGTGTCAAGGGTATTACCCACTGGCACATCACCCCTCCGTTCTGCATCTGCTCCGGGGTCAGTCTCAAACCCCGAAGTCCATGAAGGCTGGCGCTCTCGCCGAGGGACATCGCTATCTGAAAGAGTAGAGGTTGCCTGTTGATGGCCCCCAACCCTTGCTGACGTAGAGGGCGTGTCATGCCCCCCACTAGCCACGTGGGCTTTTGGGGCATTAGGATCCCTAAGTCCCGTGGCATCCATAAGCGAGGTCAGCAGGTCATTCCCTGCGTCACCAAGTGTTTGCAGCGGGGCAAACCCATTACCTGTGAGCACTAAGAAATTGGCGCCACTAGTGCCCCGGGCCTGCCACACAGCTGTGCTGGGACCTATTCCCGGGTCCCTGCCCATAGTGAGCGGGGCCTTACCTTTCAACTGCCTCATCCTATGTCTATAGTTCTTCCTCTGCCTATAGGTCATACCCTCTAGGCCTGCACTCCCTAGTCCCTGCACTTTGTCGGCCACCCACGTAGGGTCCTCACTTGCCATGCTAAGAGGATTATGATACACCTCCCACTCATTAGACAAGCCCGCAACCCCCTTAGCGACCTCACCAAGCTCCTAACAAAGCTCACCTTCTAAACCCACTTCAAGAACACACCAAAAGATCATAAAGATTCTATCTTTAAGAAAAGACACCTAAGGAAACACTAAAAACACAAGATGAACATAGATCTTACCCTCCTAGATGCCCAAATGTATGAAAGGTAGAATCTTGGAGACAACTCTTGAGGTTTTGACAAAGCTTCAACTTGTCTTGGAAGAAAAGCTATCTACCTTTTTAGAGAGAAGGTGGAGCTAGAATTTGGAAAGTGTAAGGAGTGAAATGAGGGTGTTCTACTAGGTTAACATACAATACTAACACAAGGTGAAAATTCAAGAATACCCTTACTAACATGAAGAGGTGTAAGGGAACAAGGGAACTTCCTACAAAGCTCAAGGTACAACTTTGACTTTGGGGTTGACTAGTCAATTACTAGTCCCCGACTATTGAATTTTCAGGAATTAAGGAATTAAATTACAAATTGAAATAGGATTAATTATTTAATTAATACCTTAATTGAATTTGGATTACGGGGTGTCACATACACTTCACGAACACATTCTATTTTACATTTACAGTCTCCTCATGCACAGCTCGTCTATGATTTGTATTGGAGATCCTGTATTAGTTAGAAATTAAAGACCATCATACAAATTAGTAATGGTTGACATACTAGCAAGACATTTGATTATTATATTATATCTTTTGCCTTGGATGATTGGATTTAGTCTTTTGAAATAACTAAATTTCTAATGAAATTTATGAGTTGAACAAATCAAAATGTACAAAGGATTTACGAGGGTAATTGCTTCAATGACACTAAAGTTGAATAACTCTCCTTTTTAATTGGTATCATAATTGCTTCGATTGCGTATCTTTGTGCCTTGTAGTGCACATTGTTACCTTCAAGTGTACCTTGTTGTGCCTTCAAGTGCACATTTTTGTAGATTAGAAGTGTCAATTTTTAAAATTTTTTTTTTTAAACAAGAGCAGTTGATCTTAACTAAGTCAATGACGGAGATATATGCATATTTTTCACTTGGGAGCTCTTCTGCACCTGCTAGTAAGCATATATATATATATATATATATATATATATATATATATATATATATATATATATATATATATATATATATATATATATATATATAGTGAAAGGTTCCCGTGCGGTTGTGCGGGTGATTAATGTGCGTGAGATTTGTACTCAATGTGCGTGAGTGTTGTGTCTAATGTGCCTGAGATTTATACTTAATGTGCATGAATGTGTAAAATGCAGCAGAAAATTATATGGATGTAAGTTTCTCCTTTCCCAATGGGGTCGATCACCCTTCGCCGAAGTTCCCGCGTGATTTACGGAGAATTGAATTGCAGGTTTTTCGTGAAAAAATGGCGCTTAATCTTGGAAGTTGCTGAGGACACTCAATATGCAAGAACGAACTCAACACAGCAGCATAACATACATAAGCAAGCTTAGGCAGCACTGCAAAGGTTTCCAAGAGAAGAGAGAAATAGAAAGAGTTTTTGAAGGAAGAAGTAACAAGAAGCTTGGGCTTTGATGTGCGTGAGTTTTCTGTTCTGCTTCTTTCTGAGCTCGTAATTCTGAATTACTCACGCACATTAAGCACAAATCTCACGCATATTAAGCACAATACTCAGGCACATTAAGTACAAAACTCACGCATATTAACATGACGCACATTAAGTACAAATCTCAAGCACATTGAGTACAAATCTCACGCACATTAAGTATAAACCTCACGCACATTAATCCACCGCACATCCGCACGGGAAGCAACAAATGCACCTGATCCCTTCTATATATATATATATATATATATATATATATATATATATATATATATATATATATATATATATATATATATATTACTGATAAGGTGAAAAGCTTTACTTAAGTGAAAAATAGGGTTTAATCTCATCCAATGATCCAGTCCAGATCAAGCTAAGGGTCCAGAATGAAGTTATTTTAAAAAACTGCAGTGGCATTATGGTAGTTTTGTGTAAGTAAGTTACCTTTATATTTTTATTTTTTTTTTGTCTTTCAGAGTTTTTTTTTTTTTTTTTTTTTTTTTCCTTATTGCATAGCACAATATGTTATACCCTTCAGAGCATAATGTTATACCTTCCAGAACACACTAATATGCCTTTCAAAGCACACTAATGTGTCTTTCAATGCACATTGTTGACCTTCCAAAGTACATTGTTGAGCCTTCTAGAGCATATTGTTGTGCCTTCTAGATCATATTATTGTGCCTTTGAAGTACATATTGTTTTGCCTTAGAGTACTCATTGTTGAGCCCTCCAAAGCACATTGTTGAGTTTTCTAGAGCACATTATTGTACCTTCGAAGTACATATTAATTATTTTGCCTTAGAGTGCACATTGTTGAGTCTTCCAGAGCACATTGTTATGCTTTCCAGTATACACTGTTGTGCCTTCCAAGAGACAATTTTGTGCCTTTCATTATTTGAACAAAATGGAAAGACAGTAGATGTTTACTGGAGAAAATATAGCGTCGTGTAGATTAGAAACGCTCTTTTTTATTAGCCGGTGATCTGGACATATCAAAGGCTCATATTTTTCCTCACTTTCGCAGTTATGGCCTTCTTCACATTGGTGCATTTCATCGTGGTGCATTTCCTAATATTATTGACGCGTTTTTGCTGAGATATGATGCATTTTTTGTGGGTGGTGCGTTTTGTGGTGCGTTTCACTGTAATGCGTTTCTTAACACTAGTATTGGTGGGTTTTTGTATACCTAATGGTGCATCCACACCGACCGCGCGTTAAGCTTTGGCCGCATTTTAGCTGATATATATATATATATATATATATATTGCAGAGACCTCTTTGGACTGCCAAAACTTCATCGATGATACATACATGTGCAATGTTATCTCCATTTACCTTTCTTATTAGGTATATGTGCTCACCTATTTTTCCTCATAATAAATGCATTGTTTGCGTGTTTAGGAATGAGCTTATTAGTTTTTAGATTCACGGGGCTTATTAGTTAAGTTTGGTTTGTTTGGAAAACTTTAACTCTTTGACTTAGATCAAATAATAAAAATGAGTATTTTGTTAGTATTATTTTGGGTTCATTTCTTTTTGGGTTCATTTATTAATGTGAATAAGTTGAAAATGAAAAAAAATATTTGAGTAGCTTAATGATATTAGTTTATTGGAAAACTTTAAGCCCGCAACCCCCTTAGCGACCTCACCAAGCTCCTAACAAAGCTCACCTTCTAAACCCACTTCAAGAACACACCAAAAGATCATAAAGATTCTATCTTTAAGAAAAGACACCTAAGGAAACACTAAAAACACAAGATGAACATAGATCTTACCCTCCTAGATGCCCAAATGTATGAAAGGTAGAATCTTGGAGACAACTCTTGAGGTTTTGACAAAGCTTCAACTTGTCTTGGAAGAAAAGCTATCTACCTTTTTAGAGAGAAGGTGGAGCTAGAATTTGGAAAGTGTAAGGAGTGAAATGAGGGTGTTCTACTAGGTTAACATACAATACTAACACAAGGTGAAAAGTCAAGAATACCCTTACTAACATGAAGAGGTGTAAGGGAACAAGGGAACTTCCTACAAAGCTCAAGGTACAACTTTGACTTTGGGGTTGACTAGTCAATTACTAGTCCCCGACTATTGAATTTTCAGGAATTAAGGAATTAAATTACCAATTGAAATAGGATTAATTATTTAATTAATCCCTTAATTGAATTTGGATTACGGGGTGTCACATACACTTCACGAACACATTCTATTTTACATTTACAGTCTCCTCATGCACAGCTCGTCTATGATTTGTATTGGAGATCCTGTATTAGTTAGAAATTAAAGACCATCATACAAATTAGTAATGGTTGACATACTAGCAAGACATTTGATTATTATATTATATCTTTTGCCTTGGATGATTGGATTTAGTCTTTTGAAATAACTAAATTTCTAATGAAATTTATGAGTTGAACAAATCAAAATGTACAAAGGATTTACGAGGGTAATTGCTTCAATGACACTAAAGTTGAATAACTCTCCTTTTTAATTGGTATCATAATTGCTTCGATTGCGTATCTTTGTGCCTTGTA